TCCACCGTGTGCCTTTCTGATCTTCTAGTTTGCTCAAACACCCAAAGATTTCTTGTTTTCCACATCCACCATAGTAAGTAGCTAGTCAATTGAATTCTTGCTTCTGCAACTGGGTTATAATTGATAGAACATAAGTGTGCCCACCAGTGTTTGAAGCCTATGGTGTCTGCTTGAATCTCATCCCAAGAAACCGGGGCCAGTCTCCAAATGAGCTTGGCTCTGCTGCAGGTAAAGAATAGATGCTCCTTTGATTCCTCCTCTTCACCACAAAGTTTACAGATTTTATCCACTGTGACTCCTCTTGAATGCAAGTTTACAAGGACTGGCAGAATATTGTTTAGACATTTTCAAAGGAAATGTCTAATTTTAGTCTTTATTTTAAGTCTCCAAGTCCTTTTTCTGGCTTTCTTCATGTCATGTTGAGTTGAGCTTGGGCCTGCAATATCCAATTTTCTCCAGTGAGATTCAATGAGCTTGGAGTAGGTAGATGCCACAGAGAATTTGCCATTGGAACTCCACTCCCACTTTAGCTTGTCATTACTGTAAGGATCCAAGCCTTCAATTTTAGTTATAGCCTAAACTTCTTCCTCTGTAAACCATTGTTCCAGTAAGTTCCTGTTCTATCTCCTCCCAGAATTGTCAATAAGGTCACTAACCCATTTAAGCTCTGTGTTCCTTGGACTTTTTCCTGTTGGTTTGTAGTCTGGTAAGAGAGGAACCCATGGTTGGTCCCAGATTTTCACTGACTTGCCATTTCTAATTTGGAACCTGATTCCCTTCATGAAGTTATCCTTCAGGCTCCACCAGCTTGTCCACAGCCAGGAGCTATTGCTCTTCTTTTTTGCTGAGAAAATAGATTCATGAGGAAAGTACTTCCCTTTTAGGATTCTGCTGACAAGGAGATGAGGCTGAGAGGTAACCCTCCAAAGCTGCTTTGAAATTAAGGCTTTGTTGAAAGTGTGAGGATCCTGAAATCCGAGCCCTCCCATTTTTTTAGGCAAATCCAGATGCTTCCAGCTTTTCCAGTGGATTCCTTTGGAGTCTTTCTTCTTATTGTCCCACCAGAAGTTGGCAAACAGTGATGAGATTCCAAAAAAGATTGAAAGAAGGGAGAAGTCATACCATCAGGCCCAGGGGCCTTAAGAGGGTTAATGCTGTGGAGAGCATCCTTGATTTCTTCAATACTCACTTGTGTCACCAAAGCCTGATTCATCTCCTCTATAATCAATGGGTTGATTCCTTGGAGCTGTCTAGCATCATACATCCTAGCTTCAGAGGTGAAAAGTGTACTGAAATAATCCTCAATGCAATGAGAAATAACATCCCTGCTCTC